CGCTCGCGAATCGTGGCGCCGCGCCTTCCGAACCTTCATTTGCATGTAGCCTCTATAAGTACGCCGGCGGCTCGGGTGCACCCGGGTGCTTCCGGCGCGCGCGGTGCCCGTCTTTCTACTTGTTGACGTTTCCTCCTTGTCCTTTTCGTTATGCCCGAGCCCGCCAAGTCCGCTCCGGCTCCCAAGAAGGGATCCAAAAAGGCCGTCACCAAAGCCCCGAAGAAGGACGGCAAGAAACGCAAGCGCAGCCGCAAGGAGAGCTACTCCATCTACGTGTACAAGGTGCTGAAGCAGGTCCACCCCGACACCGGCATCTCGTCCAAGGCCATGGGCATCATGAACTCCTTCGTCAACGACATCTTCGAGCGCATCGCCGGCGAGGCGTCCCGCCTGGCGCATTACAACAAGCGCTCGACCATCACGTCCCGCGAGATCCAGACGGCCGTGCGCCTGCTGCTGCCCGGCGAGCTGGCCAAGCACGCCGTGTCCGAGGGCACCAAGGCCGTCACCAAGTACACCAGCTCCAAATGAGTGCCGCCCGCCCCCGGGGCTCCTCGGCTGCCTTCTCCAAAGGCTCTTTTCAGAGCCACCCAACTCATCAGTTGAAAGAAGCTGTCCCAGTGTTGACCGGCCAAGGTTTATCTGCAGATAAACCTTAGCTGTCCTGTCGTCCTTTCCTGCCCATTGGGGAGACCGAACACTTCCGATAACCGCGTAGTGAGGCCTTTGGTTGCACTGACCGAGGTGGCCAGATCGTTTTTATCTGGCGCTGACTCGGCCCGTTCATGTACCCTGAAGAGAAACTGTGCCTAGCTTCATTCTTACCTCTCGAGAGGCGGTGGATACTGCGAAGCTGACCTGTGAGGGACACGAAAAGTGCATTCACAAGGGCACAAGTTGCTATTCTCCGGTATTAAAACTGGTGGTGTCGCTACTTTTTTTTTTTTTTTTTTTTTTTTTTTTTTTTTGATCTGAGTATTCTTGAGTTGTGTGGAGAAATCATTCAGCCGGTCAAACTGGTGCACCTCTAACCCCAATCCAGCATCCCGGGAGGCTAAGCAGGAGGATCCTAACTTAGTCTATTCCCTCACCCTGGTGCATGCCGGTGATCACCGCACTGGGGAGGCTGAGGCAGAAGGATCGCCCCTGTGTTCCAGCCAGCCTGGAAGTACATAGTGAATTCAAGGTCAACCTGAACTACGTGGGGACACCCTGTCTCAAAAGAGCCAAGTTATCCTAAATTTGAGTTCAGTCAGGGCAATTTGGCAAACCTTGTGTCTAAATTCAGTTTTTTAATGTGGGAAGGGATGGAGATAGAGCTCAGTGCCAAAACCCAGGGTTCAGTGCCTGTTTCAATGCCAAATCATTTCTCCTGTCCTTCCAGCACCGAGGGAGGCTGAGGCAGGTGCATTATAAGTTGGATTCCTGTTGGCCACTTTAGGGAGACTTTTAAAGTCAGAAGTGAGAGACGGTTCTTGATGTGATTTGGCAAAAGAAAGGCCTTGTGTGTGTACCCTTGGGCCACAAACTCTCCCTCCTTTCATGAAGATGGAGATTTCCCAGCAAGGGGGAGATAAACTTGGTTTTGATGGCTGGAAATCAACTGGTAACATTAGTGCTGTCTTTTCCTGGAAATACTGTAAAACCATACCTAAGGTAGTTACATGGTAAGAGGGTTCACCTCTCACTTTAAGCTGGTCAGCTGGGAATCTGTTCTACAGTGGAATAAAAAAAGCTGGGTTTCTGAATGCAGAACTTGGAATCCTTGAGGAAAAAGGCCAACATGGCACAAGGAGGATGATTGGCTTGTGCTCATTGTGTGTGCTTGGGGGCCCTTGCCCTGTTAGGCAGGAATTGAAAGGACACGACCACATTCACTTTAAAAATCTCTGCCCAGCTGGGTGTGATGGTGCACGCCTGTAATCCCAGCACTCGGGAGGCTGAGGCAGGAGGATCGCTGTGATCCCAGCCTGGGCTACATAGTGAGTTCCAGGGCAGTCTCAACTACATAATGAGACCCTGTCTCAAAAAACAAACAAAAAAATCTCTGCTCATTATCAGTGCCAGGCTGGCCAGGGTGGGAAGGAAGAATCTGTAGGAGCCTGTTGCAGTGTTTTGGGTGAGAGCAGGGACTCTGCAGCATCACCAGCACTGCATCACCAGGGCTCAGTAAACAGTGAGGGTTCCCTCGCCACAGTCATCCATGTTAAGGAATCCTCCAGGTGACTGAGGTGGTGGCAGATGTGCTCTGTTGGAGTTCCACTGTCATAAAAGAAACAACAGCATTGTATTGGGATTCTGTCTTGGAGTTAGAAATGACTGGCCTTGCAGAAGAATGGATTTTCGGAGAATGAAGCCCCTAGGTTCTTGGCTTTGAACAGCTGGGTAGGGAGTGGGGCTGTTAAAATAGAATACAGTACTGGGGGGAGGTCGGGGTTGGGGCATGGAAGGGAATCCAAGCAGCCATTTATATTTAAGTGGGTTGCTGCAGTTGTCCATGTGACAGGCTCCCAGCAATGGCAGACCAGGGGGAGCGAGCCTTTCACCTTGTCTAAACTTTCTTCTTCGGTGTCGGTCATGAAGTATAATTTACATGATAGTCCTATAAATCATATTATTGACTACTTTTGTAGCATTCATTTTTCTAACTCTGTTCCTGTCGCAGCTGCCACATTTCCTGGAAAGCAGGTGTGGGGGTCAGAGCTGAGCCACCGGAGTCACTTCAGACTTCCAGTTAGGCCAGTTTGTCTGCCCCACTCTTACTTAGTTTGAATCTTAAAATATTTCAGGAATCACAAATAATCTCCCAGGATAAAAAAAAAAAAAAAAAAAAAAGAAGGATGACCTTAGATCTTTAGTATTGAAAGGCCTCATAGGAGTGAAACAGGGTAGATACCGGACAATAGAGGTGATCCAAGTGGTAAAATCACTATCTTTCTTTTCTTTTTTAAAAATTGAATTTCTGTATTTAATTTTATTTGGCAGTGCTGAAATCAAACCAAAGGCCTTGAGCTTTGAAATAATGGATGTCATCAGTGCTCTACTACTGAGCTAAACCTTCAGCTAAAATCACTATTTGACCAAGACCCAAAACTCCCCTGCCTGGGATTACACTACACCTGGATAGTTGTACTTTTTTGTTTTGAGACAGGATCTTGCTATGTAGTTAGGCTAGAGTTGAAGTCACTATACAGCTCAAATTGTCCTTGACCTTGCAGCAATCCTGCTTTAGCATCCCAAGTGCTGGGATTATAGGCCTGTGCCACCACACCAGGCCTTAGAACTTTATACTTTTATCAGGAGTTTAAATTTCAGTTGTTTAAAAAAAAAAAAAAACCCCAAGTGAGAACAGAATAGGAAGGACTAACTGTAACTGTACCTTTATAGATACAGCTGTTAAACTGTGTCACAATGGGCTGGTTTAATTCTTAATTGTGTCACAATGGGCTGGCTTTATCTCCTTTGCTCACTTTTTTCTTAGGTGGCTACATAAAATCCCAAATACTTCTTTCTACTTTGACATATTACTTGTCTATCCAGCCCAAATGAAACTATTACTTATTTCCTGATTATTTACAAGTTCCGTCTTATTTCATTACAAAAATGAAACTACACAACAACACACACAAAAATCCCCACAAAACAGCTTAACTTTCCAAAAATGTAGTCCCTGGAAACTCTTCCAGCCTTTCTGCAAGTCCTACATGGTGCTCCTGAGCAATAAGGCAGATTGTTTGGGGGTTTTCTTGTTTCTTGTTTTTTGGTACCAAGGATTGAAATTGGGGCTTTGCCCTTTCAAGGCAGGCAGCAGAACCACTGAGCTAAATCCCTGGCCCGAGACAGATTGTTAAAGCCTGAAAATTGCAGTGACCGCATGGACAAGGAAGAAGGAAAACAGAACATTTTAGTACACCGAATGGGAACATTATGTTAAGAGGGACCCACAGGAATTTTGTTAAAAACCAAGTTGTATGTGGAGGATACAGAGGTCAACTTTTGAGTCTGGAGACAAGACGCCGGCAGGATGACAGAAAACAGCTAACCCTAAACTAAAGGAGGGGAGGGAGTGACTCCGTGTAACTACAGCACTCAGCAATCATTGCTGTCTCACCGACATGTATGCTTATACTTGTGAAAGCAAAACCGACGCTTGTTCTCGCCCCAATGTTAAGTATTTGTATCATTCCCCGCAGTAAAGGTTGATTTTAAAATCCCACTTTGCATACTGACGTAAGCCATGCAAGGGCTGCAACAGTACGCAGAATAGAAAACCCGCTTGGTGTGTAAGTGAAAGTAATCAACTTCGTAACGTCGAGATGACAAGGGCCATCCAGCAGGTTATGAACTGGAGAGTGAATGGCAGGTCTGATCCGTTAGTATTTAAGGAACAATCTGAACAGCGTAACATCGGGAGCTGTCAGGTTCATGGGTAGGGTAGAAAACTCTAATAAAAGAGTTGAGTTCAGGTGTAACAAGCACTAGACCTGGCCAAACACTGGGACGAGCAAGGGGGTAGTGAGCAAGATTTGCAAGTGAGATCAGAGAGATTTTGGGAGGTGAAATTATGCAGGACATGGGGTCTCATACTCCACTTTTCTGACAGCCTTTTTGAAACCGGAGCGGACTTGGACTCGGGCATAACGAAAAGGACAAGGAGGAAACGTCAACAAGTAGAAAGACGGGCACCGCGCGCGAGGGGCTTTGGTGACGGCCTTTTTGGATCCCTTCTTGGGAGCCGGAGCGGACTTGGCGGGCTCGGGCATAACGAAAAGGACAAGGAGGAAACGTCAACAAGTAGAAAGACGGGCACCGCGCGCGCCGGAAGCACCCGGGTGCACCCGAGCCGCCGGCGTACTTATAGAGGCTACATGCAAATGAAGGTTCGGAAGGCGCGGCGCCACGATTCGCGAGCGTTGAGCGGCGCGGAGGCGAGGGGGACGAGATTATGCAAACGAGTAGAATCCGGCTGAGCTGTCCTATTGGCCCCGAGGTCTTAACCAATGAGCGTGCTCGGAGGACAATCCGCGCTGTGGCTATAAAGGGGTGAGGCGGCGGTGCCTGCGACGGTTTTCCCGGTAGTCGGGCGGTAGCGGTGTGTGCGAAGCGTCGTCGCCGTGATGTCTGGCCGTGGCAAGCAAGGAGGCAAGGCTCGCGCTAAGGCCAAGTCGCGGTCCTCCCGCGCCGGGCTGCAGTTCCCGGTGGGCCGGGTGCACCGCCTGCTGCGCAGCTGTGGCTAAAGGGGTGAGGCGGCGGTGCCTGCGACGGTTTTCCCGGTAGTCGGGCGGTAGCGGTGTGTGCGAAGCGTCGTCGCCGTGATGTCTGGCCGTGGCAAGCAAGGAGGCAAGGCTCGCGCTAAGGCCAAGTCGCGGTCCTCTCGCGCCGGGCTGCAGTTCCCGGTGGGCCGGGTGCACCGCCTGCTGCGC